AAACCATGAAGGCCATCGAATTCGTTTAACCCGTTTTGGTCAGGCTCACTTCGCCATTCGCATTCCAGCGCCCAAGCTATCCAGATCTTTGAGTGAGTCTACAATCCAACAATGCGTCAGGGTATCCTCATGCTGGCGGTTGCAGTAGTTGGCTTGGTAAGCTGCAATGCTACCCCGGCAGTCGAGTCGATGCACAATCAGGTGTCCTTGGCGGCCAGTACCCAACCCACTGCTGTCGGACAAAATGAAATCGCAAGTAGACGGCTTCTAAGGACTGCCGAGACAAGCGAAGAGAGAGGGTATGAGTCTCTAAAAAGCCTCTTGCCTGGGATGAGAATGTGGCCAAAGGACGGGAAGACTTTGCCCACTAGATTTGTCAAAAAAATGCTGAGAAAGGAACTCCTTCGGACTAAAGTGTTTGAAGACTGGACTCGAGCAGATATTGACGGACCAGCCCTTCGGGAAGCGCTAGGGGATATGACCAAGAAGGGCCGAGCCGAACTCCTTACCAGATTTACTGCTTTCCTGGGTCCTCAGCCAGGGCTAGTGTACCATAGACGTCCTTTTGTCTAGAATATTGACGACTTAAGACCAGGTAAGCCGCTACAATGGACTACATGGTCTGGCTGATTCAGAAAATTTTCAGTTTCTAAGCACTTTCGAAAGTTTACTGCTTGGCGGGGATAGTGTTTTTTTTGTCTTGTTTTGAACTACTACTACGTGGGAGTATGTTAGTCTCGCTATGAATGTGACAAAGAAGAGAAGGTCGCTACGGAAAGTCGGCACAAGTTCGTGATTGCAGTCGAGAGCGACTTTCAGGCGTTAATAACGGTGAATTTCGAAAGCCAACACTGGGTACGAATAAGTTATTGCAGTGATTACAGCTATTACACAGCGATCGTCTCACGAACAAGAGCAATTCTGCCTGCATAAAGTTTACATCAGCCTGGTATGGCATGGCAAGATAAGGTCCTCGATGAATTGTTTCATAGCGCTGCTATTGCTGTTCATTTTGCCATTCTCGTGTTCTTATGCACTACTGAAGCCATATGCACCGTGTTTGAAGAGGTGCTCACTTCGCATTCGGACGTTAGCGAGCGTTAACTCTACACCATACTTGTTTGTGTGTTTGTTTGTTTCGAATTATTCCAAGGTACTAGTGCGAGTTTATTGTATTATGCAAGTACGCGATGTTTGGCTTGATACCACCATTTCACCAAGCCAATCTCTACGTTAGTAGATGTCAAATGCTACTATCAAACATTAGAACACCGAACTACAACCTATCTACACTAATGACTAACCGTCGAAGAAGTTGGAAAGTTATTCCTGTGACGGTGATATACTCAGCAATGGCCGCTGACGTAGATATCTATCATTTTTGATGCAGTTGATCTCTGTAGTGGCGATTCCAGCACATGTTGGATTATTTAGGTGCTCTGCTGAGCCATGAAGCGCTGCGCGGGCAGGCTTAAATCATTGCTATGAAGTGCATGTAGTTTAGTGCTGGACTTGTGATCGTAAAATAACGTTGGATGACCTACAGAGGTTGATAAAGACTCTGTTCAACCAAGATTGAAATATAGAGGATGCTGTTTCGTGAACGTGTGTTGATAGCAGGTTGTGTCAGAGGACAATGCAAAACCACCAATCATGACAGCAATTAAGGTAGCCAAAGAGAGATAACTCGTTTGCTAGCCTTCCTTATCCACCTTCTCCATAATATCTGGGTTGTATAATTCCAAGGTCAGTTATAACTAAAGTCATCTGTGTCTAAAATACGAAGTCACCGTTTGACTACCTCTCAAGTTTAATCACCGGAAGACTGTCAGATGTTTTCTGATTATTAAACGCAGGGTTCCCGTCTCCCCATCTCTTATTCTCGTCCCAACTCTGGGGGGACACTGCTACCGAGAAATAAAAATCCCCCGAAGAGGCCGTTGGAGGTGAGCTCTGGACCACTTGAGCCAAACGCTTATTGCGAAGTGCGCATTTGTCATGTTCCAGCCACTTCTTTCATTTGACATGTATAACACATTGAAGCTGCCAGCCGGCACTTATTAATAACATTGAGCTTCCTGTTCATGGTTTCCCCACTTAAACATTTGTTCTCTGAA